CCGCTCGGCCCTCGCCGCCGCTCGGGTCCCGGCCCCGCGGCCGCCTCGCTGCCCACCCCACGTCCCCCAAGTCCCCCGCGCCTGGCCCTGCCTGGCCCCGGGCTTCTCTCCCCGGGGTCTCGCCGGCTCCTTCCTGCAGCCTCTGGAGGAGCGGGTCCACCGCGGGTCACCATGCCCAGCAAAACCAAGTACAACCTTGTGGACGATGGGCACGACCTGCGGATCCCTTTGCACAACGAGGACGCCTTCCAGCACGGGATCTGCTTCGAGGCCAAGGTGAGGAGGGGACAGGGGGGGCACTACCCGGGAGGGGGCATGGCTGGGTGGATTCCATGCACAGCCATCCGGGCACAGAGCAGGTGGGTTAGGCCAAGTGGGGGCCTTTCTCTTAGAGGAGGCGACTGCCCCTTCTCAGGATACAATTTCCCGGACTCCTGCCCAAAACTGCTAAAGAGCACCTGGAAAGTTTGAGAGGCGTTGCTTCACCCCCTCCTCCCACCTGCAGACTCCCCCATCCTTGCCTACCCAGGACTGGATTGAATTACTTCCCCAGCCCTCCTTCCCGGGAGGAGAAGCCGATGAATGAGCGCAGCCTGGACACCTGGTTCTTCAGGATCGGTTGAAGGAAGCTCTGGTGTTATTTACCTGCTGGGTTCCCTTGGGAGAGGCGCTTTCAGGAAGGTCTTTTAAAAGAGGGAATGCCTGCTTCCTATTGAGGAAAGAAATAGAGTTTTGTTTTTGTTTGTTTTGAAAATTCCAGGTAACCAGGTCCAGGTGTTAAACTCACTTCCTAAATGTCTGATTTGACACTACACTTTTGCACTGTCCAGTCCTTGATGTGGGGCGGTGATGGGCAGGCTGGGAGTGAAAGCTGCCTGTTTGCTGGCTTTATGTGGCAATGTTAAGTTTCACCATCCGCTGCTGAAGAATTTAGCCACAGGCCGAAGAAAGCCCTAGGTCCAGCCTCGAGGGCAAGGGGAGGTGGCTGTGTACCGGCCCATCAGACTTGGTTAAGGCTGGTGCCCTGCCTCGCAGGGTTTCTGGTTTCTCAAATTTCAATGGAGGTTCCCGCTGCTCACCATTGGAAGCAGCTTTTCCATGGAAAAGAGCTCTGCTTTAGTTTTTTGCCATGTAACCTCCCAGGTGATATAAACACTCAGAGATGCTTGGACCCTATCAGGTACCTGTCTCGAAGTAAAAAAAATCAGTTGAACCCTGTTACTGGTTGAATCTTGCTGGTTTTGAAAACAGTACTTTTGATGGGGAGACAATTTTACTTTGTTCTCCCCTTTTCTCTTTCAGGACTGTGTATATGCAGGGGTTAGTGTCTCAGGCAGGATTATTCCATCAGGTGTCTCGTTCCTTCAAGTCACACAACATTTTTTGAGTGTCTGATATGTGTCCAGTGTGGTCATCTATCTTTAGATTTCTTTTCCTTCACATGGAGATGTGTGAGTTGAGGGGGGCTTAATTTCTTAATATTTTTCCCGTAATAACTTTTCCCCAACCCCACTGTGCTAGAACCAGCAGAGACAGCCCCCCTCCTTAGACTCAGACCCTGCTGTGGAATGCAGAGCTGCGTTACTGGGCACGGCAGGGACCATGCTGGGGCTGTAGCCGAGATCTTATCTCACTTTTTCTCAACCCTCAGAATAGATCTGGTTGGTCTAAGATGGGATGTTTGAGTTCGTTTTTTATCTGGGTTTGCTGCTTTAGTAAGTGGAGTTTAAGTTTATGTTAAAGTACACATTTTCGTCATTCTCATGATTTTATTTACTGAGATGTACATACAATGGGAAATTGGCTTTTGTGTTGTGTGGTTCACCAATCTGCTGATTTATAACAGTGAGGGAAAGAAGGGACATTAATGTGTCTTTGAATCTTCTTTATTTTTCTTCACAGTCCTCTGCATTTTGTCTCTAGTAGGTATCAAAACCTAGTGTATGTAAGAACCACCAGGTAAGGGTATTAAAATCCCAGTTTGCACCTAGCCTCAGTTCTAATTCAGTACCACTAGGGAGAGTCCAGGAATGTGCACCTTTTTCTTTTTGTTTTGCCTCCCACCTCCCGCCCCACTGGAGATTGAACCCAGGACTTGCGTGTGTGTTAGGCAAGTGCTCTACCACTGAGTTACATCCCTGGCCCCTTGTATTTTTTATTTTGAGCCAGGGCCTTATTAAACTGGCCTCAAATTTGTGATCCTCTTGCCTCAGCTTCCCAAGTAGCTGGAATTACAGGTGTGTGTCATCGTGCCAGGCAGGAATGTATACCCTGAACAAACATTCCAGGAGATTTAGTGCAGTTAATTGCAACCAGGCTGAGAAATACTGGGCTTGAGGCTTGCGTTTAACTTGCTGCATTTTACAGTCCTTTTCCCTTTACCAAACTTGCAGTTTCTTTTCTAAGCAAATGTCTGGGTGCTGTGGGATGTAGTTCCTATAGTAACTTCCCTGTATTCACAGACAGTAGTGGTCAATAAGAAGAGGAGCAGCCACTGCTGATCTAAGCTGTATTGCCAGTGTAGATCTGAGACACAAGGTATCAGGGATTCTGCTTTGAGAAGGGCGAGGTAGAGAAGAAAGGGTGAGGGCACGTAGAAGGGCAGGGTGGCGCTTTCTTGGGCAAAGGCTGACTTTAAGGACTAGGTCCTAATTCCAAGCTTTTGAAATTCCTCTGGGCATTGGCACCTTCAAATGCCATGTCAGCCAAGACCTGAGTCTAGGTGAAAGCGAAGCTTTCCTTTCTTGTATGCACCCTGTAAGTATGTTATCTGGCTGTTTTCCACATCCCTATAGAACAGTGTTTGTGGGACTGTGCGGTCACTGGGGTTTGAGAGTTAAGTCCACATCACACTTCTTTGCTTGTTTTAGGAAAGCATAAGCTGTAAAATGCAAACATATTGTTGCCTTGTCAGGTACCTTTGGCAAATGAGCCCAACTTCCTCTTCCAAGTTGGTGGTTTTCAGAATCAAAATTGAGTGAAGGTTTTCTTTGGATGTATGCCTCTCATATTCAGGGTTTTGCAAAGACTGAGGGGTTTAGGGTTAGGGTTGAAGGGCATCTCAGTGGCAGAGGTTCTGTGCACTTAAAAACATGCATGAGCCAGGCATGGTCTACATTCATGGGATTCCAGCAGTCTGGGAGGCTGAGGTATGAGGATTGTAAGTTTGAGTTCAGCCTGGGCAACTTAGCAATTTAGTGAGACCCTGTCTCTAAATAAGTAAGAAAGGGCTGGGTATGTAAGTCAGTGCAAAAGGCCCTGGGTTCAATCTCCATGTAATAATGAAGCGGAATCCTTGATGTTTTTCACATTTTTCTCATTTAATGCTCACTTCCTTACAACATGAGTTTCCTTATGTCTATAAAAGAGGACATAGGGACTAAGCAGGTTGTTACCTGTTCTGATGCTTCCACCTGTGTGTGACAAAGCTAAGATTTAAACCTGGACCTTTGGTTTCAGACTCCTAAATCTAGTGCTTACTTATTCAGTATTCTTAATTGAGTATTCGTATTCCCTATCCCGGGGAGTGTTTGATGTACAACTCTTCGGTAGGTTATTCTTAGGTTGCTATCTTATAGTATTGTGATGTAGGAAAGTATTCAAATGTTTAATGCTGGATTTCTCCTTGGGCTTGAGCTGCTCCCCATGTTCTGTGAGGTGCTTGGCTCACTGGCTGGTGCTGTCTCTGGGCTGGAGGTCCATGCATGTAGACCATCAGAACTTGCCTTTTGGGTGGCTAATGCTATGCCCTGGCTGTCTTTACTTGCTTGGTGAGAAAAAGGCTTCTACTGATTGTGGTACACAGGCTAATATTAATAATCTAGTTATAGCCTGTGTTTATAGATGATTATTGATTTGTATGGGACTCTCACAAGGACATTCTCTTGTGGAAATAGGGACATTGCTTTTATATTCTTTTTTCAGGTTAGAAAATTAGGGAGCAGAGAGGTTAACTTGTCCAGAGTCACAGAAATGATGAGTATCATATCATTAAAAATATTTATTGAGCACTTACTATGTATCATGCATTATTCTAGCTGCTGCCTCATTTAATCCTTCCCCTCCAGGGCTTTGACCCCTGGCCTGTGGCTCTTTCACCTACTCCTACTCCTGAAGGAGTTACCTTGATTCTGGACCTCTGTGTAGTCCTGGCACTGAGGCTGTTCACTGACACAGTATGTGTAGTTCAGACTGTCAGAGTGGAAAATACCTTAGTCCATCTAGTAAAACCTCCTCCTTTATAGAGATGAGGAAATTAAGGCCCAGAAGGAAGTCATTGACCAAGGTCAACTAGCTGTATAAATACAGAACCAGGCCAAATCCCTGGTTTCTTGGCTTCAAATTGGTTTCCGTTATCTATAACTGTGTAACAAACTATCTCAAGACCCTATGGCTTGCAACAATCACTGTTTAGTTTGCTCATGATTTGTGGATCAGGAATTCAGGCAGGGCTTCGCTGGGCAGTTCTGTTGCATGAGGTAATGATTCCTTTGGCTGCATTCGTCTGCATCTGGACTGGAAGGTCCTAGAAGGCTTCACTTGTGCAGCTGGTGCTTTTTGGTCCTGCACATGGCTTCTTTCTCCAAGGGCCAGCTTGGCTTTCCTCCCAGCATGGTGGCCGTGTCTGCGTGGTAGTCGGGCTTTCTTAGCAAGAAGGAGGAAGCTCTTAAGGCCTGGTTTTCTGAGTTTTATAGGGTCACACTGGCTGGATTCTGTTGATTGAAACAGGTTATAGGGGAAGAGACACAGATTCTAGTTGATGAGGGAGTGTCAAGGTCACATTGTACAGTAGCACACGGAATGAGAGATTTTGGTGAAGTCCTTTGAATCACACAGTCTACCTCCAAATTTTATGTTCTTCCCTCTCTGCATATATCTTCTCCAATGATAGGGAATGCTATTGGAGGACCTTGTCTCATGCTTCTTGTATCTCTCCTCCCCTTGGATCCATGACACCAGGCACATACATGGCTGGCAACACAATTATGTGTCAAGTGGAAGAAATGACCAATTGTAGAGAGTCTGAAAACAGTAAATATATTGTAATAATGCTCAGTGATTTTAAAGTTTGAGAGAGCTTGGACTGATTGGAACTGAATTTTCTGGCTAGATTTTCCTCCTTGCCAAATGGCTTCACTGGTTGATAGTTTCGTGGTAGATGGATTTAGAATCCAGTGACCCACCTCGCAGACTGCTGGTGGCTGCCTCTTGAATGCTGTCGTGAGGGCTTGTAGGTGAGGACACTGTACACATTCGTTCACCATTAATGGGGTCTC